TCCACAATCGTATTTGCGGAAGCAATTTCGCGAAATGCCACAATTTATTTAAAAATTACGCCCTTGTTTGTGTGGGTAAATATTGACGTGTTTGGTTTATGATAATGGCAACACTGCGCAGGTAGACGGCTAACGACAGAATTATTTACCTGTAGAATGTACATTGTACACATATTATTTAATATTTACCGTCGCAGCGTAAAGTTGACAATATATATTTGTTAAGTATGCTCCTCTTTTGAAAGTTGTTGTTTACCAGTTTTTAATCAAGGCAAATTTAGAGATTAAACATATTAACAGCGGTTTGGTTAGCTGATTTGATTTAAACAGATAGAGCGCTTGTGTTAATTAAGATATTTGCCTTGTTTGGATTTTAGTTTGTTCAACAGGTTGCTCGTGATTGCCTTATTAGTGTCTCTACATAATTATTTGAGTACCTAACTTATAAATCAAAACTACGTGGTATCCCTAAGTTTCTTTAAGTTTCCATAAGTGGGTCTACATAAAATCACACAGGACCTTCGAATAAATTAGATGGAGGCACATATTATAAAGAATACTGAAATATTCTGAAATTACTCTTCTGCTGATACAGTCTATCCTTTCATGATTATTCCAAGAGGTGCTAAAATTAAATATCAAGAAGTAGATAAGATGTTACCCTACTAATACATCTTACGGATACCGATAAATCTAGGCATATGACGACAATTGATAAAGTAAATCAAGAAGCAGCGTACAAAGCGGCGGATGATATAGAAAATGTAAATACAGCGAGTACACGACGATGAACTTAATCAATTTACAAGTGGCGAGTGGGCACCGCGGCAGCTGCCAAACAAACTCCTCGATCGAACGCAAAGTCTAACTGCAAACAATATCATCATTGTATTTGTACTGAAACAACAAATTTGTAGCTAGCTTTAAATGCACGCTTAACACTCGGACACACACTCACTGTGTGTGCACAGACAATATGTTGGAGACTACTAAGGTCTTAAGCAACGCGACAAAATGAATCTCCGCTTGCGACTGATACGGCCCAATTCAAACAGAGTCAGCGCCATTTTGTTGTGACAACCGCCATTCGAGCGCGCGTGTGCCGAGCAAAAACCAACCTAACGCCCCTTCGTTTAAAGTTACATTGGTTGCCAGCTCCAATCGAGTAGAAACATCGGAAATTAAGGGAGGACAGACACGATTCTGTTTGCCGTCTAACGTGGTCCCAGGACGAACTCCCAAATATTTGACGTGTCAATTTTGTGAATGTTGGCCGAGAATTGCGGTTAATATTCCCCGCCCGGACAACCTGGCGTGCCACCCTTTAATTAAATGACTGAAATAGTCCAATTGTTAATTTATTATGACGGGGCTCGTGACAGATATTAGTTATTCAATTAAGAAACAAAGTCGAGTTGAAATTCGAAAGACAGTGGAATGGTATGATTCTCCGTCTTTTGTTTCTCTTGCAGGAATTTATGAGTTTATGTAGAGCTAGCTATCTGCGAGTATCTTGTTCTTTCTTAGTAGGCTAGGAAATGTATTTATTTTAAAAATCCCAGGCCCAGAAGTGTTATTCCTACATTTTAAAACACAACAGAAAAGAGAGAGCGGTCTTCATAACTCGATGTAGTTAACGCCCGTTTCATTGCAAACCAGCAAAACTCTTGTTTGTTAAAGATTAAAGCGGTATCGGGCGGTTATCGTCTCGTTAGGAACAAAATCAAACAACGAATCGATTGCGAAGACAAAACATTGTTCTAGCTTGTTACGGCATATTGCTCGTTACCGCGCCGCTATTTATTTTCGAGTGGCAACACCGAAGAGTCCATAAACAAAAAAACACTCGGGCGGCTGTTTTCATAGACAACAATACCGCGAGCCACTTTAGAGCAGTGTTGAGAGTGAGATGGAGGACACTCACTTTTCGCGACAGGGTATAAGAGGGCCATGCCAGTATTTTCATTGTATGCTTTTAATTTTGAGTGCGCGAACTAGCCCGTTCTCCCGGGACGTATGTTTGCGAGCATAATATTTGCTCCCACTGTATAATTCAGCCGCTCGCCATATTTGCCGAAGAGCAATCGTTTTAATATAGCGCCGGCATCGTATTAGGGTGGTTACTTTGTTAGATGGATTAATTTTTCAATTTTAATTATACCTTCAGATGAGATAATGCGGTTGGAATTTTTGCTTAATTTCAAGGAGAGTTGTGGGCGTTTTCGGGGAAAACCCTTCATATTCCGAGAAATACCAAAAAATCAACAGAGATGGAATAGGTACTAACCTGACCACATGATATTTACTTCCATTTAATACGCAAATTTATAGCTCAATTGACGGGCCGACTTTTGTAACAAAGTCCCGCAATATTCATATATTGCGACATAGCTCAACGGTTTCCTTGGTGGTCTCGGATACAAGATTCAAGGAACGCAGCAGGTTCGAACCCTGTCGAACTATGTAGTAAACCCACTCGTAACACAAGCAATTTAATTAAAATAAAAATGAATAACAATGATACCGAGCTGTCTAGGTATCTAGTAATGTGCGAAAATCTATCCATGGGCCAAGTAGCACTTTTTGATCGCTCCGATATTATCGAATCCCATCACGCAGCGAAATAACTCCTTATTACAAAAAACGCTGGAGCGAAGGCCTTTCATGTTGATAGCCCAATAAAATAAATTTATAAATAAATAAAATTACAACTGTTACGTTTTGGTACTTGTTTAAGGAGCATGTTATATAATATGTTAGGTATAGAGTTCAATATCTCTTTCAGTCGATTTTTATAATAATACCTAGGTAAAAAAATTGTCAGTTTCTCTCCATTGCTGCATTATACATTACAAAGGAAGTGGTCACGATATTTGTCTAAAGATTCCTTATAGGTAGACCATGTAACAATTCCTTTAAAAATCAGACTCGATCGTATCTCTACATACGTTTCATAAGATCCCACAATTAATAATAATAAATAAGTAGAATCAACATTTCATTCAAAAATGCTTTTCGGTATAGAACGTTTTTATTTTCGATACGTGTAGCGCCACCTACCCTAGTAAAGCAAAATCAACACGTTCGCTCGTTTCGTTCGTAGCCGTAGCTAGGATGCTACGAAAGCATGAAGATTCTTTACAAAGCGGAAAAGTGAACTTCCAAAAAAAGGAAGGAATTTTAAATTCGTTTTATTCGTAGATGCTCTACCACTTGATAAAACATGACGAAGAAAAGAAGCTTAATTTTGACAATTAATGTTGAATTGATTTTACGAACCTTTTTCACGAGGTGAAACCATAAGCCAAATCTGTGACCAAACCAACATTGGCAAACATATTATTGTTGTAGCTGACAATCCCGACTTTTATTAATTAAAATATCTCTATTCATTAAAAATAAAAAAATAAATAAAAATAGGCTTTATTAATTAAAATATCTGCCAGTAAATTAAAATGTAATTAACTAATTACAAGACTGTGTTTTTCTTTTAGCAGATATTAAGCTATAAAATTATCACTTCACGGGATTTATTGCAACAAACAATATATCTATTTTAACGGTAAATAAAATATTTACCCTCCCGACGTTGTCGGACTGACTGTACCACTGACGAAAATATTGTGCAAATGCGGGTGGGTGAAGAAAACTCATCTCGCCGGAGCAGACGACGCCGCATCTCTTCAGTCTGCCCGCGACCATGACTCGTGCAACCGAGCCGAAACGTCGGGAGGGTAAATATTTTATTTACCGTTAAAATAGATATATTGTTGCAATAAATCCCGTGAAGTGATAATTTTATAGTAAAAATGCAACATAATAGTTTAAAATATTAGAAATTAAGCTCTATGATAGCTGAATATGCTCACAAAGAATTTGTTGTCACCAAGTTGAGGGCGCAGTGTGAGTTTACTTGAAACGCATTCGATGTCGAATGCGTAAAAAAGTGACATTAGCCAAGTCGTACTAGTCAGTAGCTAGTACTAGTCGGTATCGTACGCAACGGACGCATCGTACAAAACACATCGTATCGGATGTGCAATGCGTACGATGCGGACGGATGCGGATCATATAAAAAATCCCGCGCGCAGACGCGTTGTCAGTGTGAAGTGCCGCGCGTGTTTTCTATACAAACTGAGGTATAGTTCCAAAATACTGGACTGTCCTGTCGATGACATTGACAGTGGGGCGCCACCGTCAATACCGGATCGCTGGTTCAGATTTTTGCCATGTTGGAAACCATATAGTTGAGCGATGGTAGCGCCCCCCTGTCATTGAGTTTGGTGGGACAGTTCAGCGTGGGTCAGCATACTTGCATACAATGATTAAATCTGTCGTCCCGCGTACCGCGGCGGAGCGCGGCGCAGTGTGATAACCGCCTAAATCTGACGGATTGTACAGCGCCCATAGCGGAAACTTTCAAGAACTAAAATCTTCATATATTTTTTTAACGCAGTCGATAACGAATGCGTTTGACGTAAACTCACCAATAATGCTCTCCTAAAATCTATTTCAAAACGATTTGTATTTTATTTATACCTAACTCCTGTCTTTTAAATAAAATAAAACTTAAGATTTGCAGTATAAATATTTATTGTAATAAAAAATAAAAATCAGGTTAGTTAAAACAACTGAAATGCAATTATAAATGCTGCTTAAAATAAAGTCACAGTCCTAATGTTATGAGTACACACATTCAAGTGTCGACACGATCTCGATAATTGAAATTGAAAATAAATTAACCCCTTTTTACTGGAATTTACAAATTTTTTATAAATTAAAGCAGAATTCACCATTCAAGAGTAGACAAATGAATATGCTGTCCCTTTTCTAATTCATATTTTATGAAAAGGACATCAATAATGCAACTTGCAAATTAAAAGAATAATTAGTAGGTATCAGAACATAATTTAAAATTAGTGATTTAGTGAACACCTTTTACCCAAGTAAATTAAAAATGCAATTTCTAAAAAGCGTTAGAGCTAGTAAAAGAAACGTAGTTTATTTACATCTATGTATTTGTGACGTCACATCTTAACTAAGGACACTTATCAGATTATTGTTCGTAAAGGTGCAGATCTCGGCAGATCAAGTTTAAAAAAAATATACTTATTTACCATTAATTCATTATGTATAATTGTCTTGTACTTTAGTTACTTTGCTTGGTTCTTTGTTTATTTAAAAGTTGCGATTACATCAACACACATACAAAATATTGTCAAAACAACTTAAAAACTATTGCAATTTTAGACTTTCGTCTTAGTACTTAAAAATAAAATATTCCCTTAGTTTTATCATTATAATAGTAACCCTAAATAAAATGGCAACACTATCATGGCCACAATATAATAAAATCTCTTTTTATGTCAACATTTTTCTTACATTAAGATTCATTTTTAAATTAATATTACTTAGAACATTATTATTTAAAAAATAAAGCATGCTTTTTTTTTTTCATTTGAAATAAAACATAACCTAATTTTGCTCAATTAACACCACATTATTTATTTACAAATGTATAGACTTCGGAAAATGCCACGTTAGCGACTTCGCTTCGCGATACCGACGTTGTCTACGACGAAAAGCGTGAATGACCATAATATACCAAAAGTAAAAAGAATAAAACATAATATTGCATGATCACATGATATCATCTCATGATGACAACAGAGCTAACTAAACACTGTTTCTTACAGTAGACAACTTTAAGTTGAATGTCATAAAGTTGCAATTGGGAGTAAAAAGTTAAACTTAATTTTTAAATACAAAACATTCACCCACACACTGGGCACTTAACAGCATAATCTTAACTTAAAATCAAAAGAATGATAATTCCAGGACATATTACAGATCTTACTCAACCATAAGCGGGAATTCTTCAATATCTTCACACATTGAATTGAAGCCAGCTGCCCAAGCCTCCAATTCAGCTTTCTGAAAAAGTAAAAAAAGAATACTTGAGATTTATTAAAAAAATTCTGGCGTTAAGAGTCGCCTCTCTAACTGCTTAAGGTGGGAATCGAACCCCCTTTTGCTTGCAACGACGGCTCTTCCATCTGAGAATAGCCAACTTAGACAGTTCAAATTTTTGAAGTTATGTATTTTAAAAATATTTAACTGCTATAAGAGAGCAATAGTGGGTGCGATTTTTTATTGACTGATAAATTGTCGTACCCGACGAAGACTGCCCCAATGATCATTAGGGCTTTTTTCTTTTATTTCATTATTAAATACTACATTCCTTAATACACTTTTCAGTAAAACAATTGTATTAAAAAGTTCAATACTTATTTAGATATTCCACTTTATGCAAAAGCCACAATCTCATACCTACAAAATCTCCCGTGGAAAAAAGCCACAACCTGAATATGGCCCTTATGGGGCCATATTCCAGGGAAATAATTGGCGCTAGATTTTTTCGATGTATGGAAAACAAAGAGCCACAATGGCGTTAGTTGTAATGAAATTAGTTTTTTACTCTATTTGTATATGTCATCGGAAAATAACAAGACTCGTAAGTTGATCATTTTTCTAGGAAGTTGATCAACTCTCGGAAAATAACAAACGGCAGTTGAAATGTACTATTTAACGCATCGAATTTTAGCTAATTGGTCAACTTACGGTACCTAGCCGTAATTTAATAATTAACTATATTGCTACAAGTAAAATCATCCACAAATGGGCCAATCGTTGCCCAGTGTACTATTTGACGGTACACTATTATCCGTCACTTAATACACTTTTCTCTGATTGGTCGACAGACACTTAGATTATGTTGTTTTAAATTTTAATATAAATTTACATTTTCGAGATAGGGATATTAAAGTTCGTCTATGCTATATAGTTAAATAAATGAAAAATGTTTAAAAAAATATATTGGAGGTCAAAGTTTTATTATTGTAAGTTATATTAATTAAAAGTAAGTTTGTTTATTTCTACCACTACTGACTCCATTTCACTCATCATAAATAAAATGACGCGTTATTATGAGAATTATTACCACACAAAACAACAATTGATAATTTTACCACTGTAAATAAAGAAAATAGATTTGTTTACGTTTAAGCCGGTAATGGCGGTGGCTGGGTGGCGGGGAGCGGTATAAAAGCACGTGAGTCTTTTAACCAATCAACGTGCACCTTGCCTTTGTCGGATGATTTAACGGCAAGACGCCGTAAATTAATCAACTTACTAAAATACATACGTTAAATAGTACATTTCAAATGCCGTTTATTATTTTCCGAGAGTTGATTAACTACCTAGAAAATTGATCAACTTACGAGTCTTGTTATTTTCCGGTGACATATATAAATTGCTCTTTTTGATTTCGTGGAACTCTAGGGTATAATAGGATTACTTCAAAGAATCGAATGGCATCAATATTTTTTGAATTCTACGAATTTTTTCGACTTATTTTTTACACAAAATAATTCGCCATAGTTAAAATAAAAATAATTATTACAATACTTTAGTTCTAACAAGTCAATAAGAGGTCCATACACACTATCATATCGAAAAATTATCATTACCGTGATTACTTTTTAAAATAAACACAAAAATGTCTCTCCTGAAAAGTTGCTGTTTTGCAATTAGGGCAGTTTTCGTCGGGTACGACGAAATAGTCCCCTAAAATAGTTAAAATCATAATAATTCAAAGTCTTATTGCAGCTGCTATATTATTTCTCCATCACACACATCATTGGCAGGAGCTAATACAGCTCGTCATAATAACATTAAGTGATCATTGACCTACCTCCTTCTTGGACAAATCCCTTTTCTTCGGTTTTGCTTTCTTCTTAGCCTTGGTTTTCTCCATATTGGGCATGGTGAATGTGAGGTCTGCCAAGTTGTCCTCTTCACCTGACTCTTGATCATAGACCCTCGTATCGCTGCCCGATGTGGAACCCTGGCGGAATGTAACCTTCTTGGCCTTGCCGTAACTCTTTCTGGTTGGCTGAAACGTAATACATTTTTCATCAGTTTAATTACACCAACCTACCATCAAAATTGCAATGTCCTTTAATTAACCTTTATAGTGGAGTCAGTTTGTAATCTATTATGAAAAAAAAAACATAAGAGAAAAGAGAATGAAGAATGTAATACACATTAAACGGATGAGTTTATAAAACATACCTTCAAATGATGTACAACTTCAATATCTTCAAACAAATGGACAGAATAGTTATCATCGTCATCAAGTTCTTGAGCATTTGAGTTTTCTGCCAGGTCTGTGGCACCAATATTCTCTGTGTTCTTTTCAATATTCTCAGGAAAGACTGGGGCATCAGAGGCTGACTTCATCTCATCATACACTTGGTTCACTGCCTCTGAACTGGCAGCTACTTTAGTCTTCGCAGCGAGGGGAATATTTGCTCTACAAGGCCCAGTCTGAGCATTTATTTCTTGCAGCACAGCTCTAGCACGAGGCCTCAAGGCTCTAACTCTGGGGTTATCTATCTTGACTGGTGACATATTCTCCTGATCTTCACTGTCATCAAATCCAAAGAATGTACCATCCTGGCTTTTGTCTTTCTTAGACTTCCCAGGAGTATTCTTTTTACTGCTTTTACCTTCACTGGAGTTTTCTTTATATTCATTATTTGATGATTTGCTACTATTTGACTCATTCTTTTCAGCACTCTCTTGAGCAGGTGAAATTTCAGGTGCTTCTTTTCGAGGAGTTTTTCTGGGAGTATGGTATGCAGTATCTTTGTTTCCATGACCACCCATATGTGAAACATCCTCAAACAAAGAATTAGCTTTAGTTGGTGTCACAGACCTAGCTCTTTTCCTTTTACTGGCACTTTTCTCTGCCATTTCTTTTATGAAAGAAATTATGCTGGTTTGTTTCAGATTAGGTTGATTGTTATCAACAATTTCAGGCAACACTTCATCATCCTCAGGCACCATATTGGTGTACACATGCTTCTTTTTGTTATCTTCAATATTGATGAATGAACATTCAACGGCAGGTGTCATGTTTGGCTTGACGTAAGTGTTCGCTTGCCACCTTATGGGCAACTGCTCAAACTGTACCCTCCAGGGGCTAGCATGGGGCCTTCTTACTGACATATTCATGCTACTACTTGCTACAGGAGGCTCATCGAAGAAACTAAAATCTTCTTGAAGTTTTAGAGGATCATTGTCAGTCCTGTTAATGCTGTGATCCTGAGTGGTACTTTGTACTGGAGACTTAGGACGATTAGGTGACGTTACTGGCGAATAATTGACTTCAAAGTGGTCAGGCAAAGGCTCAATATCAGCAGCAATATCTTCGATTCCTACTGAGACATGATTGATGTCAGTTACATTTTGTATCTCTTCTGTTACCTTCTTAGATTCTGACTGTTTAACTGTGTCTGTTACAGTTATTTGAGGTTTATATGCAATTTTTGCTTGATTTTGCAAAGCTGTTGCAGATTTTGTTAGAAATTGCTTTGTGTTACTAGCCACTATGTTCTTCAAGGCTGCCAAAGCTTTGTTGACATTTTGATCATAATTATTTTTGAATACAACTGTTTTTGGCTTGGCAGGTTTCTTCTTGACTGTCCTCTTTCGTTTTTTCTTCTGTGGTGGTGGTTCCTCGTTAGGGTCGAATGTGAACTCATAAACATCAAGATGACCACTGTCCCTTTTCAATGATGACTTCTTCTTTTTATCATCAAGAACCCTGAATGAAAAGCTTTTCTCCAACAGTTTCTGACCAGCTGTTTTTACAGGCAATTTCTCAGGAGATTGAGATTTATTTACTGGGGCTTTAGACTTTAATAACCTTTGCTTGGCATTGTTATTTGTGTCTGATGTTTTTTCTGGGTTTTTCTTAAGAGGTATTCTAGGTTGCTTAGCTATATTTTGAGAGGTAGACTTCGGGTAAGACTTTGAGGTTAGGTTTTGTGCGGCTGGTTTCTGAATAACTTTGCTGTCAGGTTTACCTTTATTAGGCAATATTGGAGTACTGGCATGACATCCTACAGGTATGAACTTGTTGGGGCTCACAGAATGATCATCAAACTTAGATGGCAAGCGGCAAATCCTTTTAGGACGAGGGGCTAACAAGCTATTGTCAGCATCTTTCTGAGGTGTTTTAAACGGTGAAACTATTGAGGTATCGTTTTTGTTTGGAGTCTTGCTTTTGTTAACAACAGATTTTGGTTCTTCTGACTCCTTACTGTTTGATAGACTAATCAACACTTGATTTTCGACAAACCTATTGGGGAGACGTCTCTCACGACGGGGTCTCTGTGTGTTTTCATCTGCAATTTCAATTGCTTTAGTGACTGCCTTCTTGGTGGTCTTTTTTGGTACGTCATCATTGTCGTCTGAAGCAGAGTTTGTTTTGTCAGCCAAAGCTTTACGAGGTTTTGCACTTTTATTAGAAGTCTTCGGCTTGGATTTCTCTACAACACCGATGTTTTCTTTCGAAGATTTCGTTGTCCGCGCTCTAGTTTTAGGCGGCATGACGCTACTTGAAAAACAAATCTTGCTTTTTGAACATAACCAATAACAGTACTTCACACAATAATAAAACCTATATGCACAATGTATTTATCCGCAAAGACGATTTTAACTGACAATTATCGAGAAAATACCAAATTACTAAAATTATCTGCGCACAACACAAAACATTTTCGCTCGTTTTTTTGACGTTTGACATTGACATTTGACATTATTGCCTAATCTGTGGTGAGAAAAAATCGGATTCTCTTCAAAAATATTCTGTTATTTTATATTTAATAACGGTAAAATATCGGTATTACTCGCTTTGTAAAAAATTGAATCTGAAAAGGTTGGTTAAAAATTAATTTCTGTATTCATTAATTATAAACCCTTGTTTATTTATCGACAATATAAAGACGAAAAAAAATTATAGGTACCAAACAAACTTATAGAATATTCTGGGTATTTCGCCGAAACAGTAATTTTTCTGTGTCCAGGCAGGCGAACACATGTTTTTTTATATTTATATGAATAAAAGTATTTTTATGGGAAAGTTAATCAAAAGTTTTATTTCGATGGGTGCCTGGAATAAAGCCGCAATCGACAAAACACAATTTTACAGGAGAAGAGATTTAGTGAAATTTTTGAATAATAACTAAACTACGAGGCGTATCCAAATGGTTTGTATATCAAACGATGCGTTATTTTTTCTGGAGTAACATATAATGTGCATAAGGTTATAGTGCTTAGAATATACCTTAAAAAAGGTAGAAATACATATTGCCGCTTCATACATTGAAAGTCGGTTTCGTAAGAGTCCATTGTGGTTTTATTCCGGTAAAAAGTGCAAAAGTAATCATACAGCAATAGTGCATTGCAGCGTTGTGCGCTGATCTGAAGGATGTATGGCGAATACAGTAATAGCGGTTTGCTTGAATTTAATGATCGACTTGGAAAATGTACTGGTGAATGCTGTGTACATTATATGTTCATATGGTCCGTATCGAAATGAGTACAAAGTTGAATATCTAGAGTGTTTCGTTAATATCTTTATATAAAGTAGTGGAATTCATTAGTACATAATGATAATATTATAATATTACACGCTTTTGCCCGCGGCTTTTTCGTAGTTTAGAAGTTATCAATAATTTTGTAACTTTTTTTCAATTTCATGACCTAGTAGGCTTTAAAAAAACTTATCTTTATTTCGGGTTGACTTATCTCAGATTTCTTTATTTTGACAATATCGCTATTAATTGCAAATGTTTGAAAAAAATATTCACCTTCCTATCTTTGATGCAAGATTCAAAATTTTTGCTAGAAAGTCTGTGGTGTCTTTTAGGCATAAATCTAATTTCTTTGGCCCTAATTTCCTTGTTTTCCGTGGCATAAAATGGCCTAGGAAATTATAAAAGACCATTTTTAATTCGGCGTAAAGTCAAATTTTGAGTATTCCTTTATTGGAATAAGTTTAAAATTTACATTTTAAGAAATGGGTATCAGAATAGATATAGAACAACTTGTTTTTAACTCTTAACTCAATCTACTGAATTTATCTTCCTTAGTTGTGTAAAAAGCTCGCAATGATACAATATTCATTGGTATGTTTGCTTGCGAAGGTACAAAGAAATGGGTCGAACAAAAAAAAAAGCAATCCACAGAAGAAAACTTAGAGAAAAAAATATTTATAATAATTTCCTTGGCTACCAAAAATTCATGACCTTATAACTTTGTTTCTAAAACGAATTATGACACCCCTTTTAGATATATTAGCTTAGTTTTTGCTACTTAATACAATGAGAAACTAAAAATAGTCAAAAACAAAAATATATTTCGTACCAAGGAAATTAGGCAAAATTGACCATTTTTGGCGAAATACCCTTCTACAGGGTTTCTGAACGGCCATACTAGCGATGTCTGAAATTATAGGAAACTAATTAATTATACCTTAATAAATAAATAAATAAATATCCTTGAACATTTTACACTGCGCCGTTAGTCCCAAACTAAGCAAAGCTTGTACTATGGGTACTAGACAACGGATTTATAACTTTATATTCAACGAAATTTAATTATTTTCGAGAAAATTAACTTGGAATTTTATTGTTTTTTTCGTGATTGCGAGTTGATCCCGAAAAAAGACTGAATATTGTAAAATTGTAATATTGAATTTCCTAGTTAGTCTATCCGTTGAACGTTTCTAGCGAGCAGCGCTTTTTTTTTGCTTTTTCCACATAATACAAGGTGTGGTTGTGTAAAACAATGCCCATCGGGTGGTAGTAGTACACATGGAAGGAACAAGAAAAATATTTAAAAAAATATTTTTTTTGGCATAGGTGTCGTATAAATAACACCCCTGAGATGGACGTTGCAGTTGTTTTACAAAACACACCCTATACAGTAAAATGTTTAAAATAAGTTTAAATTTCTTTTTCATGTAGTATTTGAATGGGATGGGCGATTTAAAAGGGGCGAATTTGATGTTAATTTTGCGCTAGCTACATTTGACAGCCGGGGCGGTCCGCCCCGGGTGCCAAGCATCAGGGGGTGACAAAAGTCGCGCAGATTAGTACTCATTGGCGCATCTGCATGGCAAGGACGGTCGTGATGTCATGACCATTCTGGGGTGCCTTAGGCTATAATTTTATATTTATATTATGATGGGGGGGGGGGGGTGCCGCCCCGGGTGCCAACCGCCAACCTATGCTACGCCACAACTGACTGGCGAACATTTCATGGGTCAAATGTCATTTGGGCGAAAAGTAAGATGCCTAAAGATTTTGTTGGTCAAACGTTCATTGGAGCGTCGTTCTCTTGGCGAACGCTTCATGGGTAAAGTGATCTTTCATGTTTTTTATAATATTTCCAATACGATAATGTTAATGTTTATGGAATAAATGACTATGACTATGACTTTTTGAGCAAAAAGTTAATGGGTTAAATATCCTGTTGGTGGTAGTTCATTGATCAATCGATTGTTGGTGAACGGTTTCACAATCAGACGCACAGTTTTCGAGATACGAGTAGGTATAACAAAAAAAAAGCTAGATAACAAAATCAAAATTGCTTCAGTCCTTCAAGAACTATGATGCCACAGACTATAGGTACATCAAAGTTTTCGCGAATGATACGCGAAAAATATTTTCGCACACGTGTCTTTCCCACTCATGCATGTCTTTTGCGCAAACGTCCAATTTGAGCAATATTCGCGCTCAAGCTCAAGTCTTCTTCTTCTTCTTCTTCTTCTTTTATTTTGGCAACGACTTGGTATTGAGAACCATGATTTCGCCAATGTCACGTAAACAGCTTTGACAGAGTGTAACAGGGTTTACAAAAAACAAAAGTATTTACATTTCTAATTAAAAGCAAAATTATTTGTGTGAGTACCTAAAACAAAAAAGACAACACAAAATGAGACAACACAAATAAATACATAATATAGAAATTAAAATGTAAGGGAAAAAACAGGGTAGGTAGGATAAAGGATTGGGAGAGGAAAAATAATTTTGATTATCTACAAACGAATTTTGCGGGATTGGATAAATTTTGATAAAAGTTTTAAAAGCGGGGGGTCCATAGAGTTTACTATACATATAATATTAATAGGGCGAGGGACGCTTTCAGGAAGGAGATCGAATAAAGAGGAACCTACTTTTGGGCAGTTAAAGAAAATGTGATTAGTTGTGCCTTCGTCTAAGCCACATTCGCATAAGGAACTATCCTTTATGTGCATCTTCGCAAGGTGAACCGGGGTACACGCATGACCAATTCGCAACCGACATATAATTGAAACAGAGCTTTTTGGTAAATATTTGTGTTTGAAAAACCAGGGTCTAGGGGGGATATCTTTCTGAAAGTCTTTTTGTGCAAGTGTTTTGATACGGCCCACGTGCCCAATGGCGTACTTACACGGTACATGGTGGCCGCGGTGCCGCGGTGGTTTAATGAGTGAGTTCGTTTTTTAAATTTCTAATACGATAAATGATTGTTTATGGATTAAATGAATATGACTATATCACTGTTTATGCATGACCGAATCCGAATACTGCAAAGTGATTGCAAATTAAGTAATCAAACTAGTTTGTGCAACTTTGTAAGCCGTCTCCTTCAAAAGCTCGAAGGTAGGAAACCGGTAACGTAATACGTTATTATAATGTGTATCCGAACGGAAAATGAAGTTCACAAAAATTTAACCAAACTGTTAAATCTGTTGCACAAATTTATGCTCTATGTAAACGCGTTAGGGTTTAATTTCAGTTTTCCGTAAAAACATTTGACATTCGCTCGAATTAAATTCAAAAGTGTCGTTGAGTTTAACCGTTTACCGACTGATGCATTGAAGAATTTTATAGTTTTTGTTGAAATACTGTGTCTGTTAGTTTACCTATTTATCTTTAGCGATTGAGTGAATACCTAATAATGTGTGCCTTTTACTAGGAAACGTGTTAACGCTAAAAGCATTTCAAGAAAGATCCTATTTTCCTTTTGAACTTTCGCATTCTACACAATATTCTTTGAATACAAGGTTTCTAAGAGATATTCTGCATCCTGGCTGTATCGTAAAGTTAAATAATCATCAAAACTTTTTGCAGCCTTAAACTTTACTGGCCGGAAACTGTCAAGGAAGGGACACAACTTGACAATTCCCTGATCATCGGCGCGAATAAAAGCAATGAAAACTGTTTTAACTTGAAATAGACTGTATTTTCTTAGTAAGAGTCCAATAATCTACTGAAAATGGTGGACGGGGACAGTAAGGGAACTATTGATACGGTGCAGGTCGCCCTAAGGATTAGACCGTTGATGCAATTGGAGGTGGAAAGGGGCTGCGATGAATGCATTGACGTTGTGCCTGGGCAGCCCCAAGTGCAGATAAAAGACCTAGCGTTTACATACAACTATGTTTTTGCTCAGCACATTACACAGCAGGAGTTTTATGATACAGCAGTGAAAGGCCTGATATCGAAGTTATTTCAAGGTATTTACTGGCTCATTTCTACTTAAAAAACCCATATTTATTCAAGATAAAGGAAATAATTGTTCCTACAAAGTTTTAACTTTGCTCAGTTTCTGTGCAATAGAAAATAAATTGTGTATGTAAGAGTACAAAGAAAATTAAAGTTTCTTCTTTCTACTATGGAGGGAGAAATATTTCTAGTATTCGTTATCTTACTTGATTATTTGCCCTTTTAATTAAAATCATGCGGAACATAATATTAACTAAATATATTCAGTTTGCATGATTTTTATTCACTTTTTTCCTTATAAATTTTTAATTTGATACCTTCTTTCAGGTTACAATGTGACTATATTAGCGTATGGCCAGACTGGCTCTGGGAAGACTTATACCATGGGCACAAATTATTCGGGCTCTGATGGCGATTCAACTAAACTTGGTATGTGTTCGTTATGTATTTTTGTTCAGTAACTAATTTCATTTTAGGATAAAACCAACATTTTGATATAATTTGCTGATAAAGCAAATTAGAATTAATTTATTTAGCCATTATGTTTTACTGTAGCATAGAGGTTTATTTATTGTAAAATGTTTTAGATTGAGGGTAAGACTACACCTAGTCCTCATTGGTGTTTAAATGAATAAAAAAAATTCATAAAGTTCATTTTATTTTTGCATGTAGGCTTTTAAAACACTTTTTAGTTTTTACCAAACTTTCGAACAAACCAAACTTTATCCAAACCTAAAAACTGAGATTTTCTGATTATTTTTCCAGTTTTTATATTTATTTCTTTGAAGAGTAAAAACTTTAAGTTGAGAGTTTTTACTTAATATCTTTCAGGTGTCATACCACAGGCTGTAGCAGACATATTTGACTTCATCGAGACACATGAAGACAAGTTTGTGTTCAAAGTCAGCGTGTCCTTCATGGAGCTATACCAGGAACAGTGCTATGACTTGCTGTCGGGGAAGGAAAGGGGGCACAGCATCATTGAAATCAGGGAAGATATAAACAAGGGTGTTATTTTGCCAGGTAAATAAAAGTAGAACAATTAAAATATAGCATAGATCATAATATTTGTGTAAGATCACTTTTAGTAGTAAGTTGTGAAAATGACTATCTTTATTTTTTTGGTTCTGTATCAGGAATTAAATTATCTATTCTAACCATATTCAAAGCTGTTTGATAAATTGTTGACCAGATGTAAATTTATCAAAAAAACTTGGTCCCTCATACAAGAAACATAATATTCTTTGGCATTTTGTGGAACTATTTTAAAACATAAAACACTCTGCTATACATTACTGATACAGTAGAATCTCGATTATCCAGACTTCGATTCTTCACGGTTTCTAATTACCGTTGTTAAAAGAAATGGATGACCAATGGTCCAATAATATTTCGTTTTTTAGACTATAAAATGATGCATTGAAAACCCCTTCTATTGTAGAAAGTTAATTATTGTTTGATTTTACTTTGAAATCGATTATCCGGATTTTCGATTATCCGGAACACCCCTGGTTTTAATTGATCCGGATAATCGGGATTCTACTGTAGATTCTTAGAGGCCAATTTGTTTCCTGGCTATTCAGGAGTTGTAGTGGATAGAAAGAGGACGGTGAAATTATCCATGACTGGTTTTCCTTACAGGTATAACAGAACTGCCAGTAACCTCAACGATGGAGACGATGACGGTTTTGGAAAGGGGATCCATTGGGCGGGTCACTGGTTCCACCGCCATGAACCAAGCTTCCAGCCGAAGCCACGCGGTCTTCACCATCGTCATCGCGAAAGAGAGTCGGACTGATAAGTATGTGACTGAAGCAAATAAAAATAACTTATATTACTTGATTTTTTCCATGTAGCTACTTTATTGGCTAAGGAGTGAGTCTGTAGTTCTAGGTTCGACAGTGGTTTACAAGGTCTGACTCTATGGTATTGCTCTTCAAATTCAGACAAAAGTAACAGAAAACTGATATGTTTTAAAAATATTGGGCAATAAAAAGTAAAGGGAAGGTACTGGATGCAAGTCGCCACCAACCGGCCATTGGGGTAGGCCTATGTTCAGCAGTGGACGCGACGTGCGATGGTTAAAATGATGATGAAAAAGTAAAGTTGCTATTTGATAGTAATCCTTTGAGAAAACAAAATCCCTATTTGTGGACTGACATACCTACCTAAATGCAGTCAAAACTTAAAAAGAGATATTGAGATCCACTAGTGTTTTTCAAAGTCAACATTCCAGTGTTTTATTATGAAAGAAAACCCTTTCACAGAAACATAGCAACCACATCCAAGTTCCACTTAGTAGACTTGGCTGGCTCAGAGCGTATAAAGAAGACGAAAGCCAGCGGCGAACGGCTCAAGGAGGGAGTGAAGATCAACCAAGGTCTTCTGGCACTTGGCAACGTCATCTCAGCATTGGGCGACGGGACTAATAGGAGTTTTATTAGCTACAGAGACAGCAAGCTGACCAGATTATTGCAGGGTAAGTTGTAACCTCTTTTTTTGTTTGTTGATGATTTTTTTTCTCACTTTATTACACTCCTATACAAAAGTTAACTTACGCATCAAGATCTATGTAGAAATGAAATCGCGCGAAGAAGCTGTTCTTTTATGTGTTTAACTAGCTGTGCCCCGCGGTGTTACCCGCGGTAAAACGTAGCCTATGCGTTAGTCCATAATGTCAACTAACTTCATACCAGATTTGATTAAAATCGCTCCAGCCGTTTAGACGTAAAGAAGTAACAAACACACACTCACACGCTCACAAACTTTCGCCTTTTTATAACATTAGTGTGATTAAATGTAGAAGAAGTTATAGCATTACCTTTAATATTCTAGATGAGCATATTTACTAAGCATTATGCTCTACTGTCCTAAATTGACTCTTTTTTACTAATTCTTTGATAAACTTTTCGACGAATGACGGTTTAATTACTCCCACATTACTCCACAGACAGTCTCGGCGGCAACTCTCTCACGCTAATGGTGGCGTGCGTGAGCCCTGCGGACTACAATCTAGACGAGACGGTCTCAACGCTACGCTACGCGGACCGCGCGAGACGTATACGCAACAAGCCCATCATCAACCAGGATGCTAAAGCTGCTGAGATTGTCAGGTATTGTAGTTGAACTTGTTACTTTAGTCTTGAAGACCCTATTCCAGTTTGGAATACAAATCTTTTTATTTATTTTTTTACTTTTGTAATAAACTAGCTCCAAAAGATTAGTTTGTTGACTAGCCTCATCATCTGAAGTTCTAAAAAAATCAGTGAAACTTGCGTTAGGAATGTCTAGTGTCTACCTAAAGAAAAGGTTGTTGTTGCTGTTTTCTGACAATTGAAAATTTACCAAGCACATTCTTCTTTCTCTGTACTAAGTTTTAGATCAACAAAGATTTATTTAGAAGATTTTAGATTTAGGTTGCCTGTGTTTGATAGATAGACGTAAATAAAATCAATAATGCTCTGTTTATGCAAACCCATTTTAAGGAAAACTTAAAGGTAAATAAACTCCTCAACTAAACAACATTTTTTTTTCTACAGGCTAAACAATTTAGTGAACGAATTAAGATTACAATTACTAGGCAAAGCACCAACAGTCAGTGAACAAAACAACGAGCAACTCCAAGACGAGTTGGAAAGAGAAAGAGCGAGATACTCCGAACTATTAAAAAAACATAAGCAAGTTACAGAACACCTTAGCAACATGCTCATAGAAAACACAAACTTATGCGAAAAAGCACTCTTGGCTGAGGCCGCAAAGGACAAAATCGAACGGAAACTTAACGAGCTGACGGAGCAATGCAATCAGACTATAGAAAACCTTAACACTAGTCAACAGACGGACGACGAATCGCAAAAGACTAGTGTTGTTGATTATTTGAAAGAAATCAAGACTAGATTGGAGGACTTGCAGTCGGTTAACTTGAAAACGAATGAAGAGTTGATTGATCATGAGATTAAGCTGTCGTTTGTGAAGGAAGACAGCGAGCATGATAAGGTTGATGACGATGTGCTGCTGAATGAAGACCAGGCGGTGTTGGAAGAGGAGAAGAGAGCTATGGGACAGGCAAGTCTTACAGTTTATTTGAGTAAACAACAGGTGCCCAACAAGTTTCATCATTATCATCATCATCATTTCAGCCACAGGACGTCCACTGCTGAACATAGGCCTCCCCCAATGACTTCCACATCGCACGGTTGGTAGCGGCCTGCATCCAGCGCCTTCCCGCTACCCAACAAGTTTGCCATTTGTAAAATGGGGGCTATCGTTTTAGCGCTCACCAGTTGGCGCCACTGTAGAGTAAGGTCCTGTCACTTGCTAGTAGCGAAGACAGTGGCGCCAGCTGGTGAGCGCTAAAGTGGTAGGAGGACTATCGCATTTGCACTCATCAAGATGGCGCCACTGTAGAGTAAGGTCCTGTCAATCGCCAGGGGTGCCAACTGTTAAGTATAAAAACGATAGCCCTCATTACATAGTTTTTCATACAAATGGTAATTATATTTAAACAGAAGTTGGTAATAATCATCATTTCAGCCACAAGAACAAACTCCATTGCTTAAAATAGACCTCCCCCAGTATTGTTGTAACAAAGATTACATTCTGCAGGATTATTGCTCCTGTCATTCTTTTCATTTCTTATTTATTTATCTTATTCATTGGTTTTCCCCTATTCTATTTATCTTTTCTGATTAATAATAAAAAAATAATAAAATAGTTTATTTTTCCCATCACAAACTTATAATGCAGAGTACAGGTACATTAACATTAAGTTTCAGTCACTAGTTTGTGTGAGACTGATGCCTGAGCTAGGTATAAAATACCTGTGTTACAGGACATCAGGCTCCCACCACTCAAAACGGCCTAAGCAGTACACTGAACTAGTAAAGGTATACAGGAATGAATTAAGAGCGTTTACGCCGTTTGGCGCAAAAACAGTACTTTTTCAACTCGTTACAATCATTAACCAGTAATACTACAAATATGTTATAGGCATAAATAGTTAGGCAATTTCGTCGTCTAAATAGTTAATTGAGAAACTATTGCGATTAGTTTAGCATTTAAGAATTCTATCAAGATAAGTCCACACAGGTTTTGTAAATTTCCACTTTAGCGTCAGTTTACAAGCTGAAATTTTTATAAAAATACTGTGAAAACGATTTAACAAACATTTATATCCTATAGCATAGATCCTTGGGCAAATAGTTATCTGAGAAAATTTTTAGATTTAAGCATTTTACAATAAGAAATCACAAATTAAAAGAACGTGAAATACCCAAAAATCAAAGTGATTTTTTCACCAATATTCTTCCTTTATTCAACACAAAAATAGCTTAATATAATAGAAGAATATCTTATCTAAAATATTTACTTTGAAATTTAAAATAATTCATTGTAATTTTTTTTCTATGAGTATTTGAAAANTCATATGGATCATGGCAGAAACAGTCAGGTTTTTAGTGGGTGTAGGGGCTACCCACCTTCTGGTAGGAAGAACCCCACATAACCCACTAGCTGCCCCCGCAGCTGGTGGGTATGAAATGTTATGCATTTTCCGGATAAAAAAAAGAATAGTAAACAGGAAAAGTTTGTTTTGAATAGAAACGATTTCAAAAAATCTCTCACCATAAAAATTCAAATTTTTTTCTGCTGAACATAGGGTGTATAAAATATTCTCAAAATAGTAAAAAACCTTTGATAATTTACTATTTGATAAAGAATTTACGTATTTATTATTGATTAGGACTAATGTATACCATTATTTATAATTATGGAGTCTGTGTTGGAAGATTTGAAGATTTTATAGTTTCCTTGAGCTGTCACTTGACAGCCTGGCACACTTTTACGATGGTGGATCAAAGTATTTTGGTTCGACTATAGAGCGTGAGAACACGCACACAGTCATAATTATTTTAGTGTGAATAAAACTAGCATCGAAATTACCTAAACTTGACATGCCACGCTAGACGTAAACGCTCTTAAAGTGATAAGATTTAACAAAGTTTGATTGCTTCTTTCTGATAGCTCTCTCTCTGTCTCGCTCTATGTCTCCATATTTAATTTACTCTCTATTTTATTACCTCAATTTTCCTTTGTTAAACACAAATAAAAAGAAACAATAGTCGTAACGTTTGAATCTCCAATTCATAGGTGGCGCTAAACCAAGAGCTTCAAGAGTTGAACCGCGCGATGGCCATCAAGGCGTCCGTAGTGCAAGCTATCTTGGCCAACAATAAGGACATGTTGGAAAGCCACCACAACCTCCGCGAGAACGAAGAAAAGATCGCCATGCTGGAGAAAGAGAAAGATGCACTGATGCAGCAGCTGAAACAGACCAAGGTAATATTATTAGCCAAATCTATATCTATAGAAGCGAAATTCACTGATTGACTGACTCACGAAATCTCAGAAACTACAAGTGCTAGGAATTTTGCGTGGGGGTTCCTTTTACAACGCATGTACTCACTAAGACGGGATTTTCCAAACCCCTAAGAGGTAAAACAGGGTCCACGCGTACGAAGTCGCGGGCGGCCGCTAGTATGCAGATAGAGAAATAACAGCTCTAGACTAGTTATGAAAATTGAAGACTGACACATTTATATTGGAGCAAAATGGGGCTGTTGACACAATAACCAATTGACATACTTTTTGTGGACCAATTGACTACTTTTTGTGGACTAATTGACTATTTTTTGTGGATCAATTGACTACTTTTTGTGGCTAGAACAAATTTTTGTGGAAATTGGTTAATTGACTATTAAACGCGGCTCAATCATAGTTTTTGTATGGCAATGAAATGTGATGTATGTATCCTGTTTGACTGCTTATTGATTTACCAAGTATTTTGCATTCTAATATTTACAGGGTTAAAATGACTAACTACAATATGAAGATGACGTATCGTCAGTTTATTTGTCAATCCATTCTTTATGATTAAGGATGTGCATTTTATCTCTGAATATATTTTTTAAAGTCTTGATATCCGAAATATTTTTCTTTACAGAGCAAAGACCCATCGCACGAGGAGCGCCGAACAAAGGTGTCTGCATTGGAAGCGGAGATAACTGATCTGAAGAAGAAGTGTCAGCAACAAGCCAACATCATCAAGATGAAGGAAAAGAACGAAGCCAAGATCGCGTCGCTCAACGCTGAGCTCCAAGCCATGAAGGTCACCAAGGTATGCTGATCATTTTTACTACTAAAGCCCGGTCCGTGAGCACGTATAATTTTGTCCAATGACCCTAGCTACCCATCCTTATCGCTCGCGCGTAATTATATTGCTGTCGCGACTGTGCGACTGGCAGCCGCAGTGAGTGTGCGAGCTCGATAGCAACATAATTACGCGCGAACGATAAGGATGGGTAGCTAGGGGTCATTGGACAAAATTCTACGTGCTCACGGACCAGACTATACTACTACTACTACTTTTTAGATAATACACTTGCCTAATTATAAAGGTCACCAAGGTATGCTGATCATTTTTACTACTACTACTTCTACTACTACTACTTCTACTACTACTTTTTAGATAAAACACTTGCCTAATTCTATAGAGAAAAGAATACTCGTACAGTGAGAATCTGTTCTCTGCATGTATCAATACTTCCAAAGATGCTACAAATAACTTAGAACTTTGTGAAAAACACTATTAGCTTTAAAAAAACAAGCTTCATTTATTATCCTCTATTGATGTGTCCTCAATAAATTTTGAACTGTATGTCATTTCAATAAGGCTTTTTATTTATTATTACATTATTTAGCCATTACATCTTTGATTTAAATAGTGTCTTAAATCCTCATGAGGTTTGTCTAGACACTATTGTTACTTGTCGACATAGACACTTGTCGATGATTATAATACAAAACTTATTTCTACCAGGTGAAAATAATAAAGCAAATGCGCGAAGAAAGCGAGAAGTTCCGCAAGTGGAAAGCAGACAACGAGCGAGCGATGCTGCGCCTACGCAACGAAGACCGCAAGCGAGCCACTGCTATGGCCAAGATGGAGTCGCTTCACGCCAAGCAGCAGAACGTTCTCAAGCGCAAGATGGAGGAGGCCGTGGCTGTTAACAAGCGGCTCAAGGTATGTACCAGAGCTAAACGGTATCAAAGAGCTATGTATCAGAGCTAGACGAAGTCGACGAACGTGTGTATCAGAGCTAGACGGGGTCAACCAGTGTATGTATCACAGCTAGACAGAGTCAACGAGTGTATGTATCAGAGCTAGACGAGGTCAACGAGCGCGTGTATCAGAGTTAGACAGAGTAGACGGGTCAAAGGGTGTATATGTATCAGAGTTAGACGAAGTCAACGAGCGTATGATCAGAGCTAGACGGAGTCAACGAGCGTGTGTACCAGAGCTAGACGAAGTCAACGAGCGTGTGCCAGAGGTAGACGGAGTCAACGAGCGCATGTATTAGAGCTATATGAAGTCAACGAGCGTATGTATCAGCTAGACGGAGTCAACGAGTGTATGTATCACAGCTAGACGGAGTCGACGAGTGCATGTATCAGAACTAGACGGGGTCAACGAGCGTGTACCAGAGGTAGACGGAGTCAACGAGTGTATGTATCACAGCTAGATGGAGTCGACGATCGTATGTATTATAGCTAGACGGAGTCGACGAGCGCGTGTATCAGAGTTAGACAGAGTTGATGGGTGTATATGTATCTGAGTTAGACGGGGTCAACCAGTGTATGTATCACAGCTAGACGAAGTCGACGAGTGCATGTATCAGAGCTAGACGAAGTCGACGAGTGCGTACCAGAGGTAGACGGAGTCAACGAGCGTATGATCAGAGCTAGACGGAGTCAAGGAGCGTAAGTATCAGAGCTAGACGGCGTCAAGGAGCGTATATACCAGAGTTAGACGAGTCAATGAGCGTATGTATCAGAGCTAGACGGAGTCGACGAGCGTATGTACCAAAGCTAGACAGAGTCACAATCGCCCACGGCCATGATGGAGTTGTTCAGATTTGAACATCGTGTTGCTGAAATGATGATGATGATGTTGATATCGTAATGATCTATCCTTCAGTTTCACATGCGAATTGCGATAAAACCCGTACATAATAAAAAAAAGTAAAAATTATATGATTTTTATCCTCTTCCAAAATAATCTAGTAAAGCAAAAGTAAACGTAATGTAGCAAACTGTCTTTAAAACAATATTTTTTTCTCATCAGGAAGCCCTCGAGCGTCAAAAGCAGACGGCTATGAAGCGTAACGCGAAAGGCAGCGTAAAAGCGGGCGCGGTACAACAGTATATTGAGCAGGAATTAGAGGTACACCTCAGCATTGTTGAGGCTGAGAAGTCGCTGGAAGAACTTATGGAGTACAGGTATGTTGTGTTCAGTAGCTTTACCCATGACCGACTGCGAAGAAATAGTTTTATGTCAGCCCCAGTGGCGGCGTAAGGCGTAGGCGACGTGGGCCATCGCCTACGGCCTCGCGGTACAAGGGGCCTCGCGGTACAAGGGGCCTCGCGCATCAAAAATTTTGAAAAAATGTATACAAGGTGGAGATGACAATATCACAATACGACAATAAATGCAAACATTGACTATTAAATATAAATTCTTGACAGCTAAACAATGTAGTTAAAAATAAAAATATATTTTTTTCCAAACAAATTCAGCCATAATCAGACTCAAAATTAAGCAACAACACGGTTTTAAGTGACGAACATTATTCTTTGGCGCAATATTCCTTTAAAAATAATCACTAAATCAAGAAATCAGAAACTGTCAATGAATAGACCATTGACCCGTTTTTTTTTATTATTTCATAAAATCCGTCTTCAGGTCGCCACAGAACAAGGCCTCGCGAAATCTGTCTTGCCCACATCTAATTTTGGTCTTGCCCCGCCACTGGTCAGCCCACGATGACCATTTTAAGTGACCGGATTATTACGTTGAGGCCAAGATGCATCGTGGCTCTACCCACCAGCAAAGATTAAACTAGGCTCAGATTTTGAGCCTTCGCCGATGTGTGTTTTTAGGAGGTCAAGCTGTATATCCTGGCTACACAATGACAAGTTGCAGCGGCGGGAACGATAATAAGTGGCAAATGTTGATGAAAACTGCATAAAAATCTGTTTAGCCGTTGATAAACTGACATTGCGACCCACTGTTCTTGGTCTATTTTACCAAGAACACGTTCTTCACGTTCTGAAATATCATCATTATACAGATATGGCATGTCTGTCAAACTATTAAGGTTAAATCAAACAAATGTTTTGTTTCGCAGAGCCTGGATAACCGAGCAAATTGAGAACCTCAGAAACAGCACAGACGAAGAAGCGAACAGAAAGAAGATCGCCGAGCTGGAGGATGATCTCGCTTTACGCAAAGCACAGATATCCGACTTGCAGCAGAAGATATTGACTGCCGATCAAGGTATGGACAAAAAATAGATTTATTTTGTATTTTAACCTTTTTAATTAGACGTTTTGGCCTTTTATTATTTAAATATTCCCGCAGTAAGAGAAGTGTGATCAACCTGAATTGCCTTTTCCTTAAACCTCTCTTTAAAAGCTATAGGTATAAGCACATCTACTCATGATATACTCTTTATAGAGATATAGGTACAGTGCGGTGCTTTTTCATAAGTCAAACGTCAGTGAGACTGCAAAGATTTACTTCAGACATTAAAGGCTTCGGCAGACCAAACGCGGGTCAGTTGCAGCGCGGCAGTAGGCACACTGAAGACAGCTGCAGTTTCAAAGCAGTTGCAACTGCGGCCATATTAGCACTGCGCTGCACTGCTACCGCCCTGCCATGCTAATATGGCCGCCATAGTAATATAACAGCGCGGGCCCGCATTCAAACAGCGCTGCTACTGCCCCGCGTTTGGTCTGCTTCGGCTTCGCCTTAAAACTATGACAACTCTGTGACTCATGAAAAAATGTGTCACGCCTCCCACACAGCTCCTCTAACACATGAAATTACTTCGTTATGGGCCATGCCTGTAGTAAAACTTAAGAAAATGTATCATACATCTCTTTAGGCACTTTATTTTGTGCCAATTTATAGCTATGTAGTATTAGGATTTGACATTTTTATTTCCTTTTCTTACCAGAAAACAAATCGCGCACACAATGGGATAATATCCAATCGATGCTGGAGGCCAAAGTGGCGCTGAAATGCCTCTTCGAACTGTTGGTGGATGCGAAACGCGAGATGCAGAACCAGAGCGAGAAAGGTTTCCAGGTAATGATGAATTAGAGTATCTCTAAACCAAATACTTACACCAATCAATACCAAAGTGTTTGTATTGATTGATGTGAAAATATTCACAAAAGTGCATGCGCATAATCATGTGACATGTTCAAAGTATTTGAGAATCGATCAAAACGGAGACTGAACTATCTCAATGTTCTCAGAATTGTTTCTGTTTGCAATTCAATTAATTCCTTATTAGTTTGAAAGATTGGCGAGCCAATATCTTAGTTGGACTACATCACGTAACGTCATATACTTTTTTGTAGAGCGGCTATGCTAGTAAAATGAAGTCCTAGTATCACTGCGACCGTTGCGACTATAACGTTTTTACGTATACCTTAATGTTTATAAAAGTATGGATTTCTGTTATATCCTCACTTTACAGGCACGTTACGAAGAAATCAAAGAGGCTCACGACCGTCTCGCAATGGAGTTTGAGAGCAGTAAGACGGAGTTTGAGCGACAACTTGCCATGGTCAAGATGCAGAGTGAACAAAAGGTAATCGACTTTACAGTAGTCCTAAAAAATTAATTAACTTGACCTTCATTGGTTGGGTTTTCATTGGGGTTTTGACGGTTAAGATCCTGGCTGCACAGGAGTTGCAGCGGTGGGGACGAGAGTCTAGAGAGAATTGACCCGTAGGTCCGTAAGTAGGTAGAATTTGTTGTCCACTATATGCGCTATCTTTGCAAAAACTGATCCATACTATCGATGAAATTAAATAAATAAATAAATAATAAATAAATATCCTTGGACATTTTACACTACGCCGCTAGCCCCAAACTAAGCAAAGCTTGTACTATGGGTACTAGACAACGGATATAAACATACTTAAATACTTTTTTTTTTTTGTAAATACATACATATTATACATAGAAAACACCCAGTCCAAATTGATCTTAGTTTGGCGATAATGTAATCGATTTTATCACTGAAAGTTATGTGTCGATAAATGGTTGGATAATGTTGGATGGATAATGGGTTAATTACTTATTTTGGGCCCCATTAGCACTATCGATTAAAATTAATAGCGAACGAACGAACAAACGACGCTAGTGTAGCTTCGTTTGTTTGTTCATTTCAGCCAAATGACGTTCACTGCTGGAAAAAGGTCGCCCCCGAGGATTTCCACAAAGATCGGTCCTACACCGTCCACATCCAGCTCATCCAGGCACGTCCTGAGACCTTCACCAGATCGTCGGTCCACCTAGTGCAGTGGTTCTTAACCGGTGGTCCGCGGACCACTGGTGGTCCCTGGAGGCATTCCAAGTGGTCCACTAAGACATCGTAATAAACAAGTGATGTGACGTGCTGAGTCGAGTCGACATAACGCAAACGGCGCACAGGGGGCGAGAAATCGACCTCCCCTTTCATAGGATTTTGAAAAAAAAAATATAAGTGGTCCCTGACAAGACAGAAATTTGGTAAAAGGGTCCCTCGTGACTTAAAGGTTAAGAACCACTGACCTAGTGGGAGGCCTGCCCACGCTACGTCTTCCGGCTCGAGTTCGCCACTTGAAAACTTTTCTGCCCCAGCGGCCATCAGCTCTGCGAGGCATGTGGGCGGGCTACTTCCACTTGATTTTAGCGATTCTGCGAGCTAAAGCCTGGTCCGTGAGCACGTAGAATTTTGTCCAATGACCCCAAGCTACCCATCCTTATCGCTCGCGCGTAATTATGTTGCTGTTGCGCTTGCACACTCACTGCGGGCGCGCGTCGCACGGTCGCGACAGCAATATAATTAGGGGCCGTCCATAAATTACGTCATCGATTTTTTCAGATTTTAGACCCCCCCCCCCTACAATCATCCTAGCGTCATTTCTTAATTACCCCCCCCCCCATTTACCGTCATCCGCAGACCAACCCCCCCCCCCTAATTTAGAATGACGTAATATATGGACGGCCCCTTACGCGCGAGTGATAAGGATGGGTAGCTTGGGGTCATTGGACAAAATTCTACGTGCTCACGGACCAGGCTTTAGTCAGTCACTTTAGTCCTCGTGGGGATCTCCTCAATACTGATTCGATCACGCAGTTACTTATGTTAATTTCTTTTCAGATCTCAGCGCTAGTAGCTCTCCAGCGGGGCGTGGTCGGCCGCGGCGACAAGACAGAAGCGTGCAGGCACCTGCAGAACGTCATTACCTACCAACAGGAGCGACTCGAGCAGTTCGAAGACGAGAATGTATGTGCCACGCTGTACAGCGATTAAACACACTGACACTGCACAGAGAGTTTTAGTGGTAGTAGTTGTAGACAGATGCTTGATTGAGGGTTTTCGCGAATGAAAGATCCGCTAGATGCCGGGACGTGGATGTGGGGTCTGACTGCTGCGTGATTGGTGGATTTCGACATATCTGTCAATGTCATGTCAAAAATAACCAATCATGCAGCATTTGGACCTCGCATCTACGTATTGCCATCTGGCGGATTTTTCATTCGCGAAAACCCTCATTGGGTAGATGACATAAACTAATTCTAGAAACGCTTCATTGGAACAATAAGAAGTCGTTACTAATTTTTTTATTGACAGAAATTCCATTTTGTATTTGTGTCGCCTTCAAATTAAATTTTAATGTTGGCGAAGTCATTTTCTAAACTTAAAAAGTACGTCGATTAATATTCGAGGTCAACCACCCAATTTTAAAACAGGATGAGATAAATCTAACTAAAAAAACAATGAAATCAGATTTTGATAGTTGCAATGCTTTTTGAATATTGGGAACGTTCTTGGTTCGGTTGCAATGCTCAAAACTCAAGAATAGGATTTTGGACTCACTGGTCGAGATTTTGTTTGAGGTCAAGCTATAGGTTTTGGGCTGGCTACATAAGAGTTACAGTTTTTTGCATGATGATAGGTGGGAACAGTCCCGTATACAGTTTTTTTTACGTGCAATTCCCGTATACAGTTTTTTTACTTTTAGGCTATGACTAGTATTTACAAAACATCAATATGATTGACAGTTCCAACCAATGTGTGTTACCAGTGATAACTTATGGCTCGGAAACGTGGCCTCTCACTATAGGCCTTATACAGAAGCTCAAAGTTGCACAGCGTGCTATGGAGAGGCTATGCTTGGTGTTTCTTTGCGAGATCGAATAGATCCGTAAACGAACCAAAGTCGCTGACATAGCCCGACGGATTAGCAAGCTGAAGTGGCAATGGGCAGGGCACATAGTACGCAGAACTGACGGCCGATGGGGCAGAAAGGTTCTGGAATACGAGGCCGCGTACCGGAAAACGCAACGTGGGACGTCCACCTACAAGGTGGACCGACGACATCGTAAAGGTAGCAGGGAAGCGCTGGACGCAGACCGCTGCCAATCGATCAACATGGAAAGCATTGGGGGAGGCCTATGTTCAGCAGTGGACGTCCTATGGCTGAAATGATGATGATGATGATGATGAACATTGAGTTCGTGCGTAAAAATGTAAATAAACTAGGTAAATGTTGAAATAGATAATCGATTTGAGTTGAACTGTCAATCATCATCATCATCATTTTTACCTTTACGATGTCGTCGGTCCACCTTGTAGGTGGACGTCCCACGCTTGTTCTTCCTACTGTATAATGTAACGGTTGAAATCGAAATTAATTTTATTTCCTATATACTTACTTGATATAATCTGACACGAATTGCAAAAAACATAAGCTGATTTAATGGGCATGCAGTATCGTGCAGGAATCGATCGAGTAGATTAAACACATTCAATGATATTGATGAATAGTTACGAAGACTAGTGACTATAAAAATGAAAATTTTATTGACCAACACGAAGTATGGACGACAGCAAATTAAGCTAAACACAGATGCATCTTATCTCATTGCAATACACGCTATTTTGCTACAAAAATGTCTGATTGGCTGACGACTGTACACAAATATGAAAGGAAAAATGTATGATACTGTATGTTCTTCATTGAATTATAATTCGCTAAAGACGGCACGATACGACAACTATTAATAACGCTCTGATGCCGCGTGCCGTCATATGCAAATTCATTCCATATTCCGTGTTCCAGATTAATTCATTGAAGTATTAATCCATATGATAATAATCATCTCATTAATAATACTTACGTTTGAACAAATTATTTAGTATTCAGTAGATGACTACAAATCGTCGTATTTTTTATGATAACTAAAACACTTACTCAATATGATTATTGCTTCTGTATTTCTCTTTCGATTGGTTTAAGCTACAACTGCATAGTAAACTACAATCTATTTACTACATTCATGGAACCGCAGAAGCAGTTTCATTGGTAGTACATAATATCGTCGTAACTTGAAGCAGTTGGTAGCTCAAAGATGCCCAAAGATGCGTCTTTGAGCTAAAGCCTGGTCCGTGAGCACGTAGAATTTTATCCAATGACCCCAAGCTACCCATCCTTATCGCTCGCGCGTAATTATGTTGCTATCGCGCTCGCACACTCACTGCGGGTGCCAGTCGCACAGTCGCGACAGCAATATAATTACGCGCGAGCGATAAGGATGGGTAGCTAGGGGTCATTGGACAAAATTCTACGTGCTCACAGACCGGGCTTTATATGGTATGCGTGTTGGTGATTCCTAAATGAAAATTACCTCAGTGTTAGCGACTTTAAACACACATAACATACTCTATAAAGATTTGCCAATTTAAACTTGACTCTATACTTACAGAAAAAGCTAATCGAAGAGCTGGAACAGTTACGCTCTGCGAGCAAGAAAGCGAAGAAACGAACTAAGAAAGAAAGCATCGAGGCCATGAAGAAGGTTGAGTACAAGGAGCCTACTGATGAGGAGGAGGATGAATTTGAAGACCGGGATAAGGACCCGGACTGGAGGGCCACGCCGCTGTTTAAGAGGATACAGGTAGATAAAGATAAATGTACAGGATATTGACTAAAATGTAGTAAGATAATGTCCAGGCCATCCATGTCTGCTCGAGAATCGCTGAGAGGTGCAGTTAACTCAGGGTTCTCTCTAGGGGAGACTTGGCAAACTTAATGTAATTCGCTTCTATAGGTAGCGCTTAACTCAATCTAGTGTTTGAGGTATGGAAGCAGCATAGGAGGGGTGACATTGACATATTACGACGTGACAAAGCATATAATATAGTTCTGAAGGAGATTTTAAGTCTCGCTAACGTTGAATGTTACAAAAACACCCTTCCCACCTTACCTCATGCACTGATTGAGTTGAGAGCTAGACCTACTCTTGGGTTTTCTGTAGTGACTATTGGCAAACTCAATGTAATACGCTTTCTAGTTCAATGGTCCGATAACTCCAGTCCTGGATGCAGACAGCGCAGAACCAGTCTTTGTTGAAATCCTTAGTCCAGCAGAGGACGTCATTTCTCGGAAACGAACGAAATCATAAAGTCAAAGTCAAGATTTATTTATTTGTTTAGACTAATAAATAGTACTTACAAATCGTCAAATAGTTTGCTCTTAAGGAGCCTTTACATCTCATAATCTTTTTACCCTACCAGCGCTTCGAGACCAACATTTGGAAAGTGCTGAGAAGAAGCGCCGCAACAAACTCAGTCATCACTGTCTGCCGGTTAATATAAATAATGCCGGTTAATAACCCTATCTTTGACATTCCCTTTCTATTCCAGGCGCAGCGTTCCCGCCTAACCATGAACTTCACAGCCGCCGACACGTCATCAGACACGTCCACGCGTGCAATAAAGCGAGGCAGCGACGGCGCTCCACACTGCACTTGCAGAGGCAGCTGCTCTACCAAGATGTGCGGCTGTGTCAAGAGTGATAAGGGCTGTGGAGGATCTTGTCGCTGCCAGGCTGAACTGTGCAAGAATAGGCGCACCTCCTCTGATAGTGAGGACAAGGAGAATAACGTAAGTATTACGTCTATTCATCCACTGCACTTGTAGAGGCAGCTGCTCTACCAAGATGTGCGGCTGTGTGAAGAGTGACAAGGGCTGCGGCGGCTCGTGTCGCTGCCAGGCTGAACTGTGCAAGAATAGGCGCACCTCCTCTGACAGTGAGGATAAGGAGAACAACGTAAGTATTACGTCTATACATCCACTGCACTTGTAGAGGCAGCTGCTCTACCAAGATGTGCGGCTGTGTGAAGAGTGACAAGGGCTGCGGCGGCTCGTGTCGCTGCCAGGCTGACTGTGCAAGAATAGGCGCACCTCCTCTGACAGTGAGGACAAGGAGAACAACGTAAGTGTCTCGCCACCATAAAGTGCTTATATTGATCTATATAAACATCCACTGGAGCGGCTGTATACAGTCGATGTGACAAGATACTTGATCAGAGGTATCTAACAAGGGGTTCGTTGGGTCGTGTCGTCACTACAGTCTAATTTTTTAGAAATCAGCAGAAATGTCATCAAATATGGCCAACTGACATAAAAATATTTTTAGTCTGTGAACTAGTGATGCGACAAAACCTCTCGTTAATCGCGAAGTGAAATGTTGTAGTACTTGCGTATCATCGCCGGGTGATCGTCAAAATACTAAAAATATGCAACAAAGTCGCAACATTGAATGTAAACTGATCATGAAATTTTCGAGAACAGGAAACAAACTGTATGCACAGATGTAATCAAAAAGCACACTGGACAGTAAAACAATCAATGATATCCGTAAAGTTATTAAACTTCTGTTGCTTGCTGTTGCTTGCTGCGTGATTGGTGGATTTTGACATATCTGTCAATGTCATGTCAAAAATAACCAATCATGCAGCATTTGGACCTCGCGTCTACGTATTGCCATCTGGCGGATTTTTCAATCGCGAAAACCCTCATTGAAAGAAGTTTTTTATTTTCTTAAAAATAAACAATGGAACAATACGTAAGCATAATTGCATAAAAAAGTAAAATAATCTCGTTTAAATAAAACCGACTAAAAATTAAACTGACTCCGAAAAAGTAAACACTAAAAGTAGAAAAATAAATTTACGTTATAGCCTGACCAGGAACATAAAAACCCTGGCATAGAGGCGCGTCAATTGCATTTGATAGTGCAACACTGAGTACAGTCGTACCTGTGTTAAATTAATAGACTAACTTTATGTATCAGGATTCAGAATTACGGGCTAATTTGTTATTTTCATAAATTAACGAAAAAATATTATTAATATTATTATAGGTAACCTGGTTTAAATAAATTAAATGAAACCATCAATCGAGCTAGTACGATTTATTTTATTATTCATCAATAATCAAATTCAGAACTTGAATATTCAACTGCAATGTCTGCTCATGAACGCTTCAAACTCGGTACTTCTTTCCCAATTCCATAAAATTCAACACTTAGAAAGTGACAAAAATCTTTAAAATAGGTAGTTGAAACAATTTTAACACAGCTAATTTTCATAGTGGACTGTACTATACGATAAACATGTCAGTCAATTTGACAACCTTTGTCGGAAACATTATTCAATGAAAATATTGTCCGAACCCTTAGTATTTCTCTTCGACAAATACTTTGACACAATGCAAACCACTTTTCTTTCACGAATATAAAAAGATTTTAGCAATTTAATTCACAAAATCAATAGCGCACAAATAAAGTTTGTTTACACTTTGACAGCAATAGACTGACATGCAAGGGTGACCATGTCAATGAAGTTTTTAGTTACTGTTGCCATTAAAAGAAATTAGTACCATTAGTTTTCCGCAACATGGCGAGGGTTTTTATGTTCCAGGCTATATCTCCAATATTGTCGAAGTTATCGCTGGAAAACTAAACAAAGTATCGTATATTTTTTATTTAAAATTAATCAGTAATCGGAATAAGTGAATACTTAAAATAATATCGATTAAATTTACAGATTATTGTCTATGACTCACAGGTTACGGCACTGATGTGTCAGAGACAAGTCATAGACAATATGGAGATAACACATGATTTTAAACGTCAAGTCAATTTGACAATGTCACAAATTTTCATCGTCCACGTATTTTGCTAAAATAATTTGTTTCAAAGATTGATTTCAAACTTGTATAAACGTGAAAATAAAGTTGGTTTCATGGGCTTGTTAAATAATGTGTATGATATTATGAACACGTAAGTGATTATGGTGTAATTGTGTATGAAAGTGTTTGTTTACATCTCTGCTGGATTCTAAAAAATCAAGGTATACAACACAGACAAGAGATAAGGAAAACAACGTCAGTAAACATCTATAGCGACAGAGTACACACGACAAAGTTTATGAGACAAAATTCACTTACTCTAAGAGTATGTTATTGTTTATTGTTTGATTTCTAAATGGTGTAATAATCCTTAATTCCTGAAAAGCAAGAAACAAAACCCTAAAATGTGACTTATCTTTTGTTACAGCCTTCAAGCACAGAATTGTCGTTAGATTCAACGCCACCGTCGTACTTCGACAAACGGTAAGCGTTTTTCACGTTTATAAATTGGTAAAATTGAGCGTCTTTCTTATTAAAAATTGGAAACCTGGTATAGATTTGAAACATCACAAGAGTTGAAAGAAGAATTGGAATCGGTGGCGGCTAGCGAAAATTTATCACCATGTAAAGACAGTAATGATGAAACTGACCGCACAGTCCGTAACAAGAAACGTTCCCCAGTAGAACCGACTCTGAAACCCGCAGATCGAACGCAAAAATGGATGCTAGCACTACTCCTATACAACACGTGTGTTGCTCCAATGTCCACGTACTGTGCCAATAGCATATTTCAATACGGGATCGATGCAGCAAAATACAACATTATTTCAACCATCTTCAGCTACCTAATGAAAGAGGTTATTTTTGTTTGGATTTGTTGTACCGGTTTTGCGGACTATGCTCTTACTACTTTTTTGTTTATGTTCTTTATGGCAAAAACATAGGTACGTTTTTATAATTATAAGATTCTTTGAATTACTGGTGATCCAAAACGTATGTAATAAATGGCGTTTTTGCAAACATCGTCTTAGTTTATTAAAATTACATATTTTTTTACGTAATAGGTTGCAGTACGTATCTAAAAAAGGTATATTCGCACTGCCATGTTGTCTTGGTGGTGTCTATGTGCGTATATTTATAAGTGCATTAATATACAATCGTGGCATTTACAGGGCATCACAAACGTCATGTAATCTTGTGAACATACCTTAAAGATTCTACTCAAATCAATCAAATCTATATTTTATATTATACAGAACTATAACAATTCACTCCTTTCGTAGGGCCAAAAGAACATACTCGTTCTATAAAAATATATCGGGAATCTGGAACATATTTAAGAGGCCTCAGTCGTCGCCAAACAGTAAGTGCATAGTTCTGCAAAGCTGCTAGTAGCATATTAGGACATTTCAGATAAAAACATATATAAAATTATACTAGATATCATCCATATTCCTAGGGCGTAACTATTTAGAAACTGTATTAGTGTACTTTGTATGTCCAAAGGTTTCAATGATGTAGCTCTAGTACAATTTTGAATTGTGAAGTAGATTGTACTAGAGAGTATTTCATCACATCACAGTAGAGTGTTAGTAAAGTCATATAAACAATTTTGATAGCAATATTGTCATTATCATAATAATAATATTATCATTTTAAGATCCAGAGAAACAAATTTAATAATAACAAACTTCTGACTCACTCTATTTTAACTTGATTCATAATTAAGTTATTATTTATAGTCTAAAGATAAGACATAGATAGTGGAAAAATATAATCCATAGTATTTTAGTCGAAACCCAATGCTATGCAGAATTATGCCGTAGGTGTTCCCACAGAGTTGCTTCCCTAAACTTTATTTGTTTTTATTTTATCCAGTTATTTTACAATTTACGAAATAAATAAATCTCATCGCTAGTGTATATTTTTTGACGATTTATCATTTAGCCAAAATATCAGTTGTATATTAAATGTTCTATTTTATTTTACAGAAATCACCTTGACGCCACATACGTAAAGAAGAAGAAGAGCTATTTCTTCCCCAATGATCAGGGAAACATCGAATCCAAACCAATAAAGGTAACAAAAAAAAATGTACATGGTTTTTTGCTTCGCACCGGCGCATTTGAATAATTTAAATAAAGAAAGTAGAGCATGTAGGTGATACTAATTTATGACTCTAGACATCAGAAGGCAGTTGGCCATAAAATATAGAATATTCACATTCTTTATAGTTTTCACAAACAAGTGCGATTAGTTACTCGTATGGCGGGCATTGGGCACCCAAACACACCTTTACCTGGTGGGTTTGTTCGTTAATTTCAGCCAAATGATGTCCACTGCTGCACAAAGGCCTTATGATGTCCACTGCTGCACAAAGGAGCATTTCCATAACGACCGGTCTTTTGTTTCCATGGTTGACGCAGGGAAACTCCGGGCATAGCACGCTCCACCGCCCTTTGGGCGACCTTGAGCCTTCTTAAGAGGCCCATAGTAAGCGGCCACATCTCAGATCCGTATTTCATCACCGGTAACACACACTGGTCAGAGACTTGACACACTTATGCCCGTTTTCACCATCAATCCCTAATTTTAAGTGACCCCTATGGTAACACAAAACAGGGATTTGGTTTTCATAGGGATCACTTGAAAATCAGGGAGTGGGTACCCAAATTTTATTAACAATTTTTTTTTTTTATTTCAGACTGAATAACTTGCAGACGTGTGGGAAACTTAAGTATTTTTTTAAGAAATTAAGTGCCTTTGTACCCAACAGGGGACAATAATGTTTCTGCCTACTTACTATGAATGTATTGAAAATTATTATGTGTATAACATATTGACTAATGTTAAAGTTTATTATAACCGACTGCGTATGTTCCTGTTTAAGTCGCTTTGAAATCATGAGTTGAATGTCCATTCCATAATAATTGTAATGTTTATAAATTGAATGGAGTCTCTGAATAAATAATATTTATTATGTAAACTGTCTTTTATTTATGTTACTTTTAACTTCACACAATAATAACTGCAAAAAAATACAGGGTGTTAGGTAAATGGGTATATGAGCCGACACCCATTTACATAACACCCTGTATAGAAAGTAGTGATAATAATATCGCACCTACGGTGCAATAACGTCACTTATGCATTTTTTTTTCAAAACTTAACTGATTATGAAAAAATACTCCAATCTACCTCTTTACTTGGTTTACTTTGATTCAGTTAAGTTTTGAAAAAATTGCATAAGTGACGTTATTGCACCGTATATAGGTGCGATATGTTTATGAATTTATTGACAGAAGTTTCCAAAGACAGAAAGTAAAATAAAATACTTAGTAAAATCTTGCAAACTTAGTTCATATAATTTTTTTGTGAACATGACACATTCAAATTTTTAATAAACAAAAAAATGCAAAAAGCCAACATCACGCGGTGTTCCCAGGCGGTCACCCATCCAAGTACTGACCGCGCCCGACGTTGCTTAACTTCGGTGATCGGACGAGAACCGGTGTTTTCAACGTGGTATGGACGTTGGCGAAATTTTTTATGATATTATGTGATTTTACCTACTTTGTATTCCTGGGCCACACGCATCGCGATAGCGCGAATCTTCGGGTTATCGCGATGGGTTATATAAATATTTAATTTTGTTAATCGCCATTATGGTCGTCCATTTAACCCATATAACAACAAAACAACCAAATGGTACAAGTTCTATTGCGATGCCTAAGTATAAAAAAAAACCGGCCAAGTGCGAGTCGGACTCGCGCACCGAGGGTTCCGTACAAACCTGCAAGGTTTACAAAGTTCGTTCATTACGACAATCGAGTCATAACTATGGTATTTTTATTGCAAAATGAAATTCATAACATTACAACGGGGAAAGATGGAGGAGCATAAATTTAAGACAAAGATCTCTTTATCGTTTGTTATTGCTGTAACTAAAATTATATTTACAATCACAATTTTTTTGGTGGTATAACTACTCAAAATTTTAAGCTTTTCGGAATTTTTCTGTTACCTGTGCTGTAAGCTATTGCTTCTTACCAAATTTCGAGATTCTATGTCAACGCGAAGTGGTCTTTAGGTTTTAATTCCCTTGCGTGTAGTTGCGAGTTTCAAAATATGCGGTATCAATGGTTGTACTTTTGCGTTTTGCGTTTTTGCGTTGACTTAGAATTATTTTTTTTTCACGGGTTAAAGGCAATTAGATCTAAGTATTTGATATGAATTTCAACTTGATAGCTCTACGCGTTCATGACGAAGAAAGTAATAAGTTTATATTTATTAAAACTAAAAATTTAAGGTTTTCGGAATTTTTCCTTTATGTGTGCTATAAAACGTTGCTTCATGCCAAATTTCAAGATTCTAGGTCGACTGGAAGTACCCTTTAGGTTTTGATTCCCTTGCGAGTACTTGCGAGTTTCAAAATATGCAGCTTAAATTGCTGTTTCTTTTGATTGCGTTGACATAGAAGTTTGATTTTGTTACAGCTTAAAGGTATTATAGACCTGAGTATTTGGTATGAATTTCAATTTAATACCTCTACGCGTTTATGAGGAAATGGGTAGTAAGTTTAAAATTATTAAAAAAAAATATATTATGTGATGTAACTAAAAATTTATGGTTTTCGTAATTTTTCCTTTATCTATGCTATAAGACGTTGCTTCGTACCAAATTTCAAGATTCTGAGTTCACGGGAAGCACCCTGTAGGTTTTGATTCCCTTGCAAGTGTCGAAAATTTGCGGCATAAACGGCTGTATCTTTTGATTGCGTTGGCTTAGAAGTTAGATTTTTTCACAGCTTCAAGGGACAGTAGACCTGAGTAATTGATATAAATTTCAGCTTCATACCTCCACGCGTTCCTGCGAAAAAGGGTCTTGACAGACGGACGGACAGACGGACAACAAAGTGATCCTATAAGGGTTCCGTTTTTTCCTTTTGAGGTACGGAACCCTAAAAACTGCAAATAATATGCCAAATTACATAAAAATCAGAGATTTAAATAATTTTGGGCATATATGGGTTAATACCACTTTGAAAACATCAGTTTTCGTCTGTTACGTGAAATTGATCACCTATAAAAATCGCATGATCTTTTTGCCTACTTTCAGTTTCTATGAAGACAAAGAATTTTGACAGTTTATCAACAAAAATGTGTTTGTAAATGATTCAGAAATGTTCAGTTGGCAAAATATTTGCCGATTTGTGGTTTTCGGAGAATTCCTAAACAAACAAACATCGTGCTGCGCTCAATGAAAGTGTTGATCAATGGTCTAATATTGACATGATTGAAATTATTGTAGGTTTTTACGATCAAAGAAATATCAACCTAAGTAGCTATGTATCACAATTTCTAAAGGGAGGGAGAGGCCTACCTATAGTAGGTACATACTAATAATAAGAATTAGTTTGTTACAGAGCACATGCCAATAAGAATGTAAATTCAAAACAGTTGTGAATATGTTACCTTCATATTTTCGGTGTTAACTCAATACTCTGGTAACTCATATGCAAAATCGATGACGACTTTCTGTCATAATATTGGGTAATCGCTTTCACTTGTGTGAAAAATAACACTTAAAACTTCTGTACAGTCGACAGTGTGTCATACTAAGTCGGTAGTATCTTTTTCTGTTGTTCTAAAATCTAACTAACGTAGGTATATGAGAAGGTCTTTCATGTTTTTTTTTCAACAAGGCTTTTAAAAATGCCCATACACGTCCCACTATCATTTTAATTCTAACATTTAAATGCTTCGGGACAATAAAGGGCTAGTGCTGTGAAGAAGCAGCGCAAGAAACTCAGTTAGGTATTATCGTTAGCCTCTTTTTCAAAGATTTGCAGAAAAATGTGGGCTACAGAAATTTGCTTCTAAATAAAATATATTTCTTTCAAAGTATTACTGGTTACTTAATAAATCCGTTGTCCTAAATAGAACCTTACTTGGACATTGGTGAACTCAGCATTACTCATTGTAGCTCTTCGCTGTGTCGTAACTCTCATATCGTGAGGCTCATTTGCATATAATGTATGGAACCAAATCCCCGAAGGCAACGCCGGCCATACAGGCTTGGTATTGCATAAATTGCAGCTTAGATCCGTAGTACAAAACTATGTTCAAAATTAGATTCAATCTTAGTCATTCTGTTCTGTAATTAGCATAATTAAATTAAAGCACCTAGCCTCAATCTACGAGTATGCTTGAGACTGAATCGTGATTTCAGGTTCATACAAACCTGAAATCACTCTTCAATACATTTAGGTTTTGCTAGAAAATTTGAGATCCTTAAATTTTACTCAGTTGATTTTAAAAAAATAGTGACGTAATAAAAAGTGAAATACTTAGGTAGAGCGTCTTATATAGCGGTTTGGTGACAGAGTTTGTTTATAGTGTAATTTTTGTAACCATTGCACCTTAGGAAAAAAAATTTCTATAATAAGCCTTAGGTAGGTAGGTAGGTAAGTACATTATTAGGCTAGTGCCTATTCATAAATTCACCTATTTAAAGCCTAGGGCGTAAAATACTAAGATTTTTATACACGCCTTTTAAAGCCTTAGGTTCCTTCTCATATGCATAGGCCTATTTAAGCGGTAGGCATAAGCTACTATAAGATAATTTCTTTAATCAAACCTACGTGATAAAACTACAACTTTTGATTGTACAATACCAATACTAACTATAGTGAAGTATAGTGATTATTACGAAGGGTGAAATTCCCCGAATGCCGGCCCGGCGATCAGCCTTGCGCACCTTGACCGATAAACGCGTCCTGCTCCGCGTCATCTATGTGAGTCAAATGAAAGCCTCCAGCAGGGCCCCTACCACTGTGTAGCATTGGAAAGTAACTCGCCTCGTTCTCACTTCACGTCTCGAATGAAGCCACGATAGCCGAACGCTGAAGGGGTCGGACTGGCTGACTCATGATCCAGGGAACGCGGGTTCGGTCTCCACCGCCGCTCGAGTATTGTGGTGAGCTCACTCGTGCGTGACACAAGCATATAATAACAAATTACTAATCATTAAAAAAATCGGATCGGATCGGAGTAGGTCGGCGGTGTTAGTTGACTGTTTAGGCAAATGTTGGACAATAAAGGAAGCACACAATTTTTGGTATTTATGTATTGGATTTAAGTTTAAAAGCGGATTTTGAAACCAGTTCTGCAAGCAAAGAAGGTCAAGTAACTATGTAAAAAATTGCTAAAGACATAAGGATTTAAAAATATGTATTTGGAATTATTTGTACTACTCACGTGGTATTTTACCTTATAGAAGAGTTCTTAAAGAGGTAAATACTCGTACTTCTTTTCTCCCTGAAAATAGCAAGTAGCTAAGTACAAAAATGATAGTACATTATCGCCTCGAATTCAAATGATTTTATTATTCACTAGCTGACCCGGCGAACTTTGTTCCGCCTTAATGGCAATCAATAACGGGATAAAAAGTATCCTATGTCCTTCTCCTGGCTCTAAACTACCTCCCTGACAATTTTCAGCTAAATCGGTTCAGCCGTTCTTGAGTTATAAGTGGAGTAACTAACACGACTTTCTTTTATATAATAGATATCATCTCTATTATTCAATTTATAACACATTCATATGCTCTTTTTCGTCTTGTTCAAGCTATGATACAGATAAATCAATAACCCAAATCCACAGCCGTGGGTTTCAATAGTAAGGGCGTCGTTCGAAGAAAGGCTCGGAGGCTTGCTTTCGATGTTTACGGGGAGAAATCTCGGCAACCAGTCGCTTCCCAACAGTCGCGCGCCTAGCGTCCACGCAACCACGCGGCTAGCGCTCGCGCAGCGTGAAAACATACAGTTAAATAGTGCGTGCTAGTGACCTGTGTTGACGATACAGTGCATACCGGCATAACGGCATACCTCTTTTTATTCATAGTGCTAAGGTACGTTGTTAGTTGTTACTTCTACTCGTTTAGGGACGCTACGCTAGAAACCTCTCTCGATGTTTACTTTCGCGGCTCCGGACGTTTCTAACGGGTCTCTTAGACCCAGCTAAATTATGTAACCTGTGATTGGATGTTCTGTGATAGTGTTTACGTTTAATCTAGGAAGTCGCTGATTGAGTTTGTGTTCCAGGAACGATTGATTATAATTGAGTATCGTGTTTACATTTAAGCTATAATACCTGTCTTGGGAATCGAGAAAGTTGTGTCGATGATTGAGACGAATGTGTTTTAAGTTACTTTCTTATTACTAGTTACAGCCAACCGCAAACATTCTTGAACAGCCACAAGTGCTATAATAAACATACAACGGTTGTTAGTTCCCTTCACGAAAGCGACTCTACAATAGAGTTCAACGAATCAAAGGATGCGGATGCGCCCGCGCCGCTCTCGCTTTACGTTTGTTTACTAACTTATATTGTTTAAAAATTTTGTTTTCTATATGTTTAAAGAAGTGAGAATATGCTGAAACTATCCTATATTATATTTCACTTGTATTATAAACAAATAAAATAATGACAAATAAAATCTAAACCTATTAGAAGACCTCTCATTACACACGTATTTTAAGGGTACCCAGACTGTGATGTGTCTTGAATTTATTTGATAAGAACATATTTAATTCTTAATTAAAACTCTAAAATGATTAATTGCTCTAATAGATGCTTTAATTGCACCCATTTCAGTATAATTTAACTCGGACGAATATTTATTTTTGTAATGAGTTTCCACTATTCTTATTTGTTCAGATGTGTTTCTACACAGATGTAAAAAGAAAAAATAAACAGTCACTCAATCATTTATATTATTAGCAGCTTGTTAACACTAGTTACTGCGATACTAAGATATCATTAAGAATTATTTATTACACCAATAACAATCGAACGTATTTATTTTATGCAAACGTGAGTCATCTTGGTCCGTGCATTTTATGTACGAATTCATATAATTAGTCGTTTATTATCTGCTAAAACACTAGCCAGTTTTTCAAGGAATTATTTATCTATGTTGATTGGACTTCTATTAATTATCCCACATAATTTGTGTCTGTTGAAAGAAATTAACAATTTGACATGTGATTTTTCGTCATAGCGTAGGTCTAGATAGAACACTGAGTGTGTTAAGAGTTATTTTAGTAGTTTTCTTGCAATTTCTTTTAGTAGATACGTTTCCTTCGGTGTTAAAAACGGTTTGCTTAAACTTGATTGCAATAATAAAGTAGGTACAATTCGTGAAATCAGGTAGTGTAGAGATAGGAGGAAGAGGAGAGAAATAAGACTTAATAAATCCTAAGTAAAAGGAAATAGTGAGTTCAAGAAAGCCCAGATTTAGCTAGCGCAATGGTTTTAAGACGCAACTCGTTCTAAGACCTAATAATAACCAAGAGGGAACATTTAGAATTCAATTCTCTATGAAATTCTAGATAAAAAATGAAATGGCTGTGCCTGTTAAATAATTAGACATTAAATTTTAATAAAGAAAAATGTAGAGTAACATTGTGAAGGAACTAAGATTGCGCGAATTGGTGGAAACCCTTAACCGTGAAAATGTAAATGTTAACTTGGAGAGTGCTGATCACGTAGGATGCTCTTTGCGTGCGATTTTTATGCCATAAAGTCAAGAAAACAAGAACTGAATAGACTTATTTAGAGACAATGTAGAGGCGCTCGCGCCCACCCGCGACATTTGCATGCAAATCCGCAAGATGTCTGACACTGCTCGGGGCTATAGTCATTTTGTCAAAAAGCAATAAAGTAAAAAGATTACAAAACTATGTTAGATCTAAGATATACAACATATCGTTTGTAAACATGTAGAGCACTGAATCTACGTACCGTTACCTATTTCATTTTGAAAAACAAATTAAAGCTTGTGTAAGAGTCTAGCTATCGATGCAGATCGATTCATTAATAATAATTATCCAACAATTTAGTGTCATCAAACTTAGGTCCTCATTTTCATCAAGTGCAAATTTTCGGCATAGCTGTAAAAGTATTTTAAAGTTCTTTAGCGTCAGTAATACCTAAATACCTTCCTTATAAGGTTCTCACAATAAAGATGAGTATTTACACAAATTGTAGTGGTCAGAGACAATGGCGGCGTCTGCGCACCGCTCGCGCCCACCGGCGTCACATCACGTCATTTGCATACAAATTCGCGCCAAATCGAGCTGGCCTGTCGCTTACTAAACACGTCATAGGGTTGCCAATATTTTAAGTCCAGTTATTTAACAAATAATTCAAAGTCACATCTTCCATTGCTCTGGTTAAATTAGAAAAAGTCGTGCTGCTGCCAGTGGAAACTAACAACCGTATTCACAAAGGATGCTTGCTCAAGTGACGCAGCAAATCGAACACACAGCGTTGAATAGAGCTCTCTGATTGGTTCGCGTTGGACCCTGTGCGTCCACGCGCACTGTGAGACCATCAAGGTTGCACCATCTTACTTTAACTTTAACAAACGTCAAAGATCTCTCAAACTCCATCTATAAAAACACCGGTTATAGTTAAAGTTACCGATAAAGCTAGGTGGTGCAATTCAGCCTAAATCACTTTAGTGATGATAACTTCATCAATATTTTAAATTTAATCTGAATTCTGAATCTTAACTTTTCTGAAACACTATACAATTTTCTTTAGCTGGTTATTGCTTCAAAAGCAAACTAACAAAGTCTCTTTATCATGGATGGAGAGACGTGACTTGGTCTTGAAAGAACATACTCGTCAAATACCAAGAAGTCAGGGGTCGACATGTCCTCAATTCATGATCGAGCAATTAGCTATACTAATCAGCTAATTGAATTAGTTTTTATCTGTGTGAAAGCATTGTCTACTGACAGTGGAAAATAACCCATACCTATTCCCACATTTTGTAGAAAGTCCCATGATAATTATGAAAACATTGCTGATTCTTATCTACAACAGTATACCTATATCTTTATTAGAGAGAGTCTTTAGTAGAGGTCAATTGTAACTTTTTTTATTAAGCTCTGAGTTAGTAAATAAGTATCTATAGAAATACTGACATTTAAAGTGATGAATTTTAAGTTACTTAACGTAGATCCTGTCTAGAAGTATTCCGGCAAGAAATTGAAGTACACATAGTTATTAACATAAAAACATAGGTACTCAGAAGTGCTCGCTAACTTGAGCCTTATACCCTGCAGATTATAGTACCTATTTCTTAGAAGTATCCTAGTAATAGTCGGTAAGACAGTCATAAATACCATCGGGCGCCGCCAGGATAGTGTCTGAGCCCTTAATACACGTGTAGCATAGAATATCGGACCATGTCTACACCATTACACATAAACCCATCGATATTTCCATAAAGCCAACATTGTATTCGCAATCTATGAATACAGATAGTCGAAACAGTCTTTCTGAGTGAAATGCATTCCAAAACAGCATTCGTATGCTGCTGTTAATGGAATGAAGGTACTGCTTTATTCCATAAACGAATTGTTTACGAGCATTTGCTTGAGACTTGATTAGAGACGGTGCCGATTCACAAGCCTTTAAGTTTCTATTCAATTACATTTTTAAATACTCGTATTGACAGATGCTTAAGGATGAAAAAATATTTTCACGTAGGTTTTGGATTGACTTTTAAGGGGAAAATGATGTAGAGTTATGAGAGGAATAAGCTTATATAGAGCCTTCTTCTTTTGTCTATGATGTCATTTTTTTTGTAAGCTATCGTCTTAAAGTAAACCTTATTGACAAGGAAATACAAACGCATCTTAAACGTATGAAAACCAACAATGACGTTCATAACCGCAAATCACATAACTGCAACTAGATTGTGCTCTTACATAACTGAAATCGCATTTTTTTTTGTTTAAAGATGTATAACAAAAGGAGACTTCTCAAATAGGTATTTTTATACATAATGACAATATTTATGTAGTACTAGCTGACCCGGCGAACTTCGTACCGCCTTAGCGTAGAGATTTTCTTAATATTTTTTTCCGTAAGAACCATCCTTGGACTTCCACAAACATTTAAAAAAAAGAATTATCGAAATCGGTTCAGCCGTTCACACGTGATGCCGTGACAACGCGAAACGGGTTTCATTTTTATATATATAGATTTAAAACTTCTGAATTAGTTGCCACACTTGTAATTCCCACCTATTCACTAGAAACACGTTGCAAAAGTGGTTACCTATGTTTTTGCAGCGCGTACGAAATCAGATGACTTAGCCCACATATGGGCACGACGGGTTCCATACAGAGGTGACTAGTGCTCGACTGACTTGTGAAATATCACTTTAGTTCGAATTTCCACAACGGCCAATGCCAGAGTTTGAATCATGACATGTGTAGGAAGCATCTAGTTTCTAGACCTTTTTAATCTATGCAGCCTTGATCAAAATGCAATAATTTGCAATTAAGTCTGTAATTAATTGCAGTTTTGAACAAAGTTATATTATAGAAGTACCTTAACATTTGATGGAAGTACAACCTAAGTTTACTACATAAGCTTTTTAAGACTTAGAAAAGTAGAGGCAAGCACCGCCATATAAGACTTGGGAAATACAGATTGGGTTATTTAATTATAAAATATAGAAAAATCGAGAAGTGCGCAAACATTTTTAAGCCCATCTGTGAGATTACTTATAAATACGCGCAGAAAATACTGCAGACAGTTGCGAGTTAGTGGATTGACTCTATAAAATCCTTACAAATACTTCTGTAGAGCCTCAAAAACCACTAAAATAATGGAACAATACTTTCCAACCGTTCACCGGTGCTCAGTAAGTAGACTCGCGTACTACTTTTATAAGTCTGTGGGCCCTACAAGATGAACAGCTGCGCACGCGCCCCACTTGCGACCACACTCGACTAATGGCCGTAACTAGAGCGCATGCGCGAATTTGTGAGAATTAGTGGTTTTAGACGGTAGTTGGTTACTATCAATAATTTATTTTAAACTTTC